CACATGAATTCTCGATCCTCTGGCATTTACTCAGCAGTAACGAAACGTTTCGTGTATAAGCTATGCGTAAGTATGTACATGATGTCTCACTGTAAATATTTCATAAGCCTACGTTTGGGAGAGATCGGGCAGCCTTAAGTTATCAACAGACATCGAAGTGTGACATAAATTTTGAACAGATGGATTTGTGATCTTTCAAAGATTTTCTGATAGGAATTTTAAATTACATTCCTTGAGTCACGTGAAAAAAAGTTTCACCATGCTTCGTAACAGCTCGGAGAACTTGCATTGCATCTACACTTCCATTTTCGTCCACAATTTTAGTGACAATTGCATGGGATCGGAAGAAAAATCGGTGGAATTTTAGGTTTGAAATGCCCAAGATTCTCCAACCGAAAATGCAACTTGCGAGGGGAAATTTGGTAACATTGAAATGAAGTTACGTTCTTTTGTGGGGGAAACGCCGAATAGTAGCCTAATAAACTCATCAATGTGGCAAAATTCTGAGTATGCGATGTGTTAAGTAGCATCCCATTGGCGTGGAGCGAAACCGAATTGCTTAACACCAAGTCGGAGAGGAGACAATAGCCGAGCGCTGAATACCAGCAGCCTTGATACAATTTAAGAAATGCGGAAGCTGCCATTAGCACCCATGTCAAGAGGAGTACCCGCTAGACGGGGCTAAGGTGAGGGGCAGGTCCGGGTGAATTTCGTCTGACATCTGTCGGTTCCTCGTAGTGCTCCCGAATCACCATAAATTACGATTAATAAAACAAAATGTCCCGCGTAACAAGACATAAATTAAGGGAAAATAAAAATAGAGCGGAGCAGCGTGCGTAAGCCACGGATTGCGGTGACTTTGTTTTAAGTGAATGAGAGCGAGAGAGAGTGGCGGGGAGCGTGTATGTTTATGCAACTGAGTGCAGGATCGTGTGTGCGTGAACCGGTCATAAATCAAGCGGTTACGCGCTCCCGAATTGGCTCGTGGGTCCGTCGATATAATGTCCTAGCCGTTAACTTTATTAATATATTCTGTCTAGAGCGGTCATCACCTCCTCGGATCCCGTTCCGGCCATCTTTTTACCTCTCCCATCAACACCTCTCCGTAAAAACCATAAATTTTAGCGTTGGCAAATTGAATTTTTGTCAGTTCCTCTCCTCTCTTTTTCAATACTAAAAGTGCTTTGGCTAAAGCTTCTTGTTGCTACAAATAGGATGCTCTTTCCATAGGGCCGATAGCTTCCATTCAACTAATATTTCCTCTTTTCATTTGCTCTCCTCAAACATCATCGTTGCAAAATCATTAGTTAGAGGATTGTTTCCTCCCGCTCTTGCTTTCTCCGGTGGATTCGACAATGAGCCTCCCGAATCTTACAATCCCCCATAAAAAGCAGCGCTGAGACACGCAAATCGTGTGAAAGCTCTGTTTTGACTCTTAAGTAGCTGAAATTGCATAAATGAGTAATGAAGGCGCACTCACCTTCGCGCCTTCTTTCTTCGCTTGCGTAGGTGCAAGTGCAATTTGCGATGGATGTTCACACCTCTTTGATGGAATTCGCAATCTGCTACTAAATAGTATATCAACAATGTTGTACATCTGTCTTTAATGAGTAGATTTGGAAATTATAAGAGTTTTTATTCTCATGAATTAACAAGCCAATTTTGTAATGATTGCGTCGGAATACTGACGAAAACAAAACTCAACTCATGGTTTCAGTCGCTGCTTTCTGCAATCTATAGAAGAACAGAGTTTTCTGGCGACACCGTCGAATTTTGTGACGGAACAGGTTTCTTTTCTAGCCCTTCTTCCACCCTCTAACTCAGAAACAGATTCGCCTTCCTGCCATTTCATAATTAAGGTCGCAGTCGAGGCGGCTCGACTCTAAACGACCCAAGAGACACAGAAACGGCAAAAATAAACAATTGAAAATATAGTGATGTATATTTCATAGGCGCTCCGCTACGGGCCCGTCTAAACCGCGAAATAGCCAAGAAAGTACCTCCACCCATATGTGAAGACGCGCTATATTGAGCCCTAGGAAATACGCAGGTTTAAGGCCGATAGAGCTCATCACAAAATGTAGTTTCCCCCTTACGTAGGCGTAGCTGCGAGAATCTGAAGGCGGGAAATTCCGCCGCACCGTAACGCGGGGTTTGAGTCGATTGTTAAATCGATATCAAACATGTCGATATATAACATTGCTGAGATAGGGACGTATCGATAACGATAACGATAACGATTCGAGCTTTCCACTCTCCGGCCCCATCGTAAGCCCGGGCCCGAGGGACCAGCGCATTTAGTGGAAACCCCGAGAGGACACGCTCACTTTCGAGGTTTGCGGGATGCCTACCCAGCACGGTGCCGCTGCACCGCCCGGCTCACTCAGGTGGATGCGGCCGTGTTTCCGCTTCGAAGTGGGGCTTTTCGTTTCGAATTTTGTCACTCGTAATCCCTCAGGGACTTTCCCGCAGCTTCTGATTCCCTCAAATTTGACGTGCGGGACTCAGATTTCTGGAGAGACCCGGTGGAGTCTTTCGGCTCTCGGCTAGGGGAAGGTCGAATTCGGCGAGTGCTTTTTGCTAGCGCATTTGACTATCGCCTTTCCACCCTGAAACACAGTTTTTTCAACTCAAGCTCTTAGATTCTCAAAATTTTCTCGTCTAACAATTTCAACTTCCTCATTCCATAAAATTAAAGATGATGAGTGCAAACCCTTTTACATTCTCGATTCTTTAGCAGTTTAATCTCTTAGTCGTAGTAAATTGAACTCCTCATTCTTAAAATAACACCAACGCCAAATTTTCTTGAAAATTCGTTATTCCTTCCATAACTACTCCTATAGATCAGTAGTTCTTGTTGTCTTTTTAAAAAAGGAAAAAGTATATGATAATAAACTGTTCACCTGAGAATGTTATCCATTCTTTCCCCCAGTATTTTCCATGTTCTCCACCCGGTTTGGCACCTTTTTAAGCGTTTCCATGCAACAACTTCGACTCAGTGCTTGCCTGGGCTGTATCTGCGAAAATTTGAAGGCGATTTGCCGTCAAGATCAACAAAATTGAGAGTTTTGATGTTGACCGTACTTTAAAGAGCATGGTTAAGATCTTAGAAGTGGATATTTTCTCCCAGCTGACTTTTCTGCAACCGTGGAGATTCATAAAATTTGTTCGGGACGGTGCAGATCTTCCTGCCTGACCTAAATAGCGCGACAAGTGTTACACCCGCGTGTGATGCTACCATACCCCGGAAAATGATATCAACGGGTGTCGAAAGGTGTGATTTTTGTGTGTCAATGGGTGGGTGCGCTAAGTCGTTCATAATAGGGCCGGAGCAATAGCATGTTATCGGTGTAAAGCCCAAATAATGCTGCGTTATCGGTGCACCCAGGCAGGTGCGATAAAACTCAGGTAGCAGAGGAGCCGTCCCTGTTATCTCCGGGTAGTCAAACAACGGGTTCAGACTTCTGTCGCGTCGTCATCGTCACTCGAATCATCGCGCGACTGCTGCGCGCGGCACTAGACACACCGTCGCTCTTCTGACGTAAGGGCGTATCTCTATTTCCAAATGAGCCCCAGAAGGCATGAATTTATATGTAAGACAGGGATCACCAGGAAATTGAGATACGTCCTTACGCTGCCGTGCTAAGAAAGAACGCCGTATGAACATTCGAGAGTTGCCAATTTTCCTTCGATAAAATGTTTATTTTTGAGGCAAGTTATGAATATTTTTCCTTGAAATTTTCAGGGACTTTAGGTGAAATTGTGAACAAAATTATATAAAAAATTGGAAGAAAAATATTAATATTATTACCAGGAAATTCGTGTTTTATCAAAAGATATTTGGCAACGCCTGGAGGTTCATACGGCGTTTTTCCTTAGCACGGCGGTACGGCGGAGAGGCGACGACACTGCACGCGGCGATTATTGTCACGCCGCCGTGTGGCTTTATCGCGAAACCTGGGTACTTCAAAGTTGCGTGGTGTTCTTTGCGATGAATCGATTGATCAGACATTTGAACCAATGTAAAAGGATCGATTATCAGCATGTTCGAAAGGAAAACCTGATAATCAATTCTTTACCATAGCTTTATAAGGATAATATCGATAGCTAATGATAAACGCATCGTCGCGCCACCGGCACTTCAGTAACATACGGAGTGTTTGAGAGGTTTATTCCGATCGTGTTTTCATCGAGCGGGTAAGGAAAATCTCAAAAAAATAGTAAAATACTGAATCATGCGCTCATGTGCAAACATTCATCGGAATCCATTTCCTCGGTTTCGTATTAAGGGAGTTATAAGGTCAAAAAATGGATATCAGCATCCCACAGCGAAAAGATTACCTAAATCCTTCACATCCATTTTGAGATATCAGAGGAAATCTCTAGTCAGCCTCGCTGCTTCCATTTAAAATCATGATTTTTGGAAATTTATTTCTCATGAACGAGGTCAGAAAGAGCCCTGTAGCGGTTAACACATGTGGCACTGTTATTGGAGTTCTCGAAAACGCCTACAGCCCGATTTTTCGGAAATTCTGTATATAGTGCTTTTTAACTCTCGGGTATTGGTGTGATAAGGCAAAGCTAAAGATAGTGTTCCTGAAGTCATGAGAAATCGCGTCAACTTTTGAAAACCAAGAATTCTAGACAAGCGTAATTTTGGTTGTCGTTCAAGCGTGCGCCTTCAATTAGAGATGATACATCAGAGTACACCCGCGTCGATATAATTGTATCACGAGAGAGGATCTTGTTCTAAGTGCTTATGTATCAGTCGGTCATCTTAACTGTTGTTAATATAAGGTGAGCTTGCGGCCCCGAGCAGAAATTATGACCCGTATAGTCTTATTGCACACTTTTTGGGGGAATATTTGGATGGTGTGGAGTTTTGAAGTAGAGAATACGCTCATAGGCTCCAACGCTACTTGCAATATTTTACTTGTTTCCGTGACTTTATTTGATGTTGCCAGCTGTATTTTAATTTGATGAATTTTTGTGTGTTACAGAGGCCACCTTCTTCGTCCCTCTCCTACGGTGGGCACGTTAACGACGACGTTAGGTCGCCCGGATCAGGGGGCACGCCCGGTCCCTTATCTCAACAACCTCCTCCTAGTCTAGACCACAGCGATCCAGGTAAGCTTCAGTCATCCTGTCTCTTTTTCGGTAGCGTTGCTTCAGAAAAACGGCATGCATCCAGTCCATTTTATGGGTGAATACCACCATCATGATTCACCATTAAAGCTCAAACGAGGAGAGAAAAAAAAAGGAAAAAAAGGGGGGGAAACACCAAGAAACGTAGTCCGAACTGTACGCAAAGTGGTAAAATAGTGCTGGGTCCACCGTATTTTTCGGGGAAAACAAGGCCAAACATTTCCTAAATGTCAATTGGAGTCAAACAAGTTTTTTGAGCTCATTAGAGCGTCAGAGCATTCATAAGACCTCAAAAGTTTTGACTCGATATGAAATTTTTGGTCTCGTTTTCCCCACAAAATAATGTGTGCTGAGCACTATTTTACCACCTTGTTGAAAACTTATATAAAGCGCATGTGTATATGAAGTCAATATGAAGTACAGGAGGCATCAAAACTCATATACTGAAGTAGCAACTAGTCAACACAAGACTACGATTTAGTCACAAACGAGTATTCCAAGATAGCTGCAACCTATGGAATAGAAATGCTTTTCCTATACGTTTTGTGCTATTCCTTAGATGAATCTGTTTGTTTAACCGCTGACTCATTTCCGCATAATATTTTTGCGTGCAATCCGAATTCAACTGCAGTGAGAAAGAACAATGTGTAGACTTTCCTGAAAATAATGCTCGCCTGTATAGTCGGGATGAAATGAATAAAGGCACCACTTAAATTTAATTTCCCCAACCAATATCGTACAGGCGGACGTAACCCACTCGAAAAACTACCCTCATTCTCGTAGTCTGTAATTTGCAAATTGATTACCCACATAGTGCCCCCAAAATAAGCCGAATATTCCCCTGCGGTGGGGTATAAACTCGGAGATTATGATGGTCGCACATAAAATAATACCGTGAGCAGAAATAATACATTCCATGCATAGAGGTATAAATGCACGCTCATGTTTTGCTTTCGCGAGGAGCGAGGGATATTTATATCATTTATTTAAAATGATGTCCCCAGACCTCCTAAGACAAGGAAACTTTAAAGCTCTCGCAAGGGGGAACTTTTTCAATTACAGTGCTTCCCCACTCCTCTCATAAGCTTGCATACCTTCTTATTGCCGTCTGAATTTGAATTTCCAAGCCATAAGGAGCCGTTTTCCCACCCTTTTCTCCTCGCGATACGCCTTTTCGGCTGTTGTCTGTAGAGAACCGTTTATGAGAGAACATCAAGCCTACCCTGAACCTTAATGAGGCTTTCAGAAAATGTCCTAATCGTGTCTCTCTGAATCTCTGGAGTTGAGAGTAAAGATCTATTACACAAGATATGAATGATTCGTGGGTGTTAAATTGTGAAAATACAGACGAACTTTTGCTACAATGACAATTCTTTGTTTCCCGAACGAAGGAGCGTAACTTTATTCCAAGGTTACAAAATTGAACCAAACAGTTCAATTTTTTGGAAGAATATACCTGTACAATTTTTGTTCGAAATTGACTGATTTTCACACGAGATCAGAAGAGGGATCGATGTGAATTTCAGTTAAAAATTTCCAAAACTCTTCTGGTAAAAATGGAATTGGCGAAGGAAATTTGGCAATATTGGAATGTGGTTACGCTATTCCGTGAAGGGGAAGAAGAATTATTAAACGATTTGGTTGTTAGAGTGTTGTTAATTTTATTTTTTTAGATTAAGTTTTATGCTGCCATAACAGCACTATGTTGCACTAACAAAAACGTGTTAGAGTCCTCTTTAACTCCTCTAATTTATTTTTGCCTGTTAGTCTTGGAAATCCAGAATTTTAATGAGAAATGTCGCACGTCTTTCATATTATCCATCGCAACCTTAACCCTCGCTTAATGAAAACTATGAAAAAAAGAATCAAAAGTTAACACAAAAATGAAGAAGATTAAAAATGAAGATCAATAAGTGTCCTAATATTGTATTATGAAATAACGAGCGTTGGAAATGGCAGACCTAAAATCGGCTTTGCCTAGTGGCAAAGCTTTTGCCTAGCTTTAACAAGAACTATGTAAAGCCAATGTAAAGCCACACGGATTCACGTGGTTCTCCAACAGTACAGGGCCGCAGACAATAGTTCAGATGTCCTCATTTCGAGCATCAATTGACACCACTTTTTCCAAGCGCGCCCGAACCAAGGCAGAGCGAGAAAATCGGAAATAAATGCCGGAATGAAGTTATTAACAATGCACTGACGGATGAGAGGGGCGTCATTAGGAGTTTGTTTAACCTTATGACTGGCTTATAATTTAGTGGTGTCTAAATGACACTGTGGCGCAGGTGCCTGACGCATGTGTGTGTGCCTTCAACAAGTGTGCGTGTGTAAGTGTGAATAAGTCTGCATTACTGGTTATTTATTTAGCTTCGTACCGGGCGATAAATCAATGTAATTTAGCCCCGTGATATCAAGGCAAAAAGGCGGACAAGTGCACTCCACCGTTGCCAAGTGTATCAATGAAATCACTAGATAACCACGGTCAGTTTTAGGTGGTATCTTTTACAGGGTGACCTATTCCTTCTCACATTCTCTTGAACCTCGTCTCCCCGTACTTTTTGGTGACCTATTCCTTCTCACATTCTCTTGAACCTCGTCTCCCCGTACTTTTTACTAAAAAGTGTTTACTAAAAATATATTTTTTTTTATTTTTGATTTTTTGCCCAGAGATGAGGCTTTGGCCGTAGTGCGTTGGCACATACATCCACTAATGTGCGATATACTCAAATCGATGCTAAATACATAGGAATATTACTTTCGATCATAGAAACTAGTTTCTGGCTCATTTCAGGAACCGCATATCTACTATCAGTTTCTCTTTGCAGATAGGTGTTTTTATGTGTGAGTCAGAAATTGTAGTTCCTAATTGCAATATGTAGTCCAATTTGGCGTCCTTGTAGATAAGCTGTATTTGCAGTGTTTTAAATTGTTTTTCGCACGATTTGACATCCATGCTACATGTTTTCACTGGGATGTGCTCGGCGTGCATGAATATAGTTCAGAGTCGCGCGTGCGCCCTCCGCCAGAGCGCGCGTGCGTTCGCTCTATTAATCAATGCAGCTCGCCCCCCCTCCCCGCCCCCTCCCTTCCCGGTGCCAGTCAAACAAACATCAATAAAATGCTGACAACTGATGAGACGGACAAAGTTGGATGAGGCTCTGCAGATATTGACGATGCATATTTCCCCACTTTGGCAAATATTTGACTAATCTGTTTCCCGAGTCGCGCGGTTCGATTTTTTTTTAGGCGGATCCCTGGTTTCTCTTGTTCTTGACGCCCGGGCACTCTTACCAGGGTTCGAATCCAGGTAGCTACGAGTGAGCAAGGAAAAGCTTTTGAGGACATGTGTTCTGCACTTCGAAACTTTTCCAAATTATTGCGAATTAAAAATTAAAATGGATGAAAATATTAAAGCAAAGAAAGGAATTTTAACGCAATATATTACTCATAGAGAGAAGAAAGTGGTCAATACTCTCTAAAGGTAGTATATCCTTGAAATCAAAAGGGGCAATGGACATTATGAACAGTAAAATGTCAATGTTAATGATTGAAATTCAAGGACAGTGGGAAATTTTAATACTTTTTGTCGGGTACTTTTGATGCACAACACCCAAAGTAGTAGCTAGTGCTTGTTCCTTGCAAAGATACAGTTTAGTGCTCGCACCCAGAGGTAGATCAAATCGCATCACTTAGATTTAGGGTAGGCTCAGCCCTGCTCGGAATAGTGTCTAGTCCTAGTCCTAGTGGGGTTAACATTTACCTAAAATGGACTTCATTTTGCAATAATCAGGAACTAAAATTTTTGGCTCATCCGTAAAACCACGTATGTGCGTAGGGAAACTAATGGCATAAACGTTGTTTTTAAACTGAGTTAGAAACTTTAGTTCTAATTACAAAATCTAGTTACCATACTAAGACCTAGCTCTAGAGTCTCATACCGGTGTCAATCTCAATCTCAATACGATCTACTTTCATAAATACAAACTCTTATAGCCCGCGGGAATACACAACTGGAAAGTCGAAACAATATCGACCACAAATTAAACTAATAATCCCAAACGGCGAGGGGACGGGGGAGCTATTACGAAGCCACAAACCTTTAACCACAAAACACGTCAGAAATCACCGGAAGGGTTGATAACCTCGCCATAGCAAAGGGGCTCGCACAAAAGCTGATTAAGCGTGTTTAGCTCTCCCGGCAGTTGGAACGGCGGCGGCGGCGGCGGCGCTGGAAAGAGCTTTCAATAAAAACAAAAACAAAATTCAAGTGCGAGGCAACCCCATGCGGAACCGCGGTCTCTGAAGGGCCTTCCACCGGTGCGCTTGAAAAGAGCTTCGCGTGGGGGGTGCGACGGGGGGGGGGAGGGGGCTCTCCGCTGAGGTTTCCGAAGTGACACTCTGAAGAGCCCTCGAGAAGCGAGTCCGACAGTAATCAATGTAAGTAAATACTCTAATGTAAACTTGTTGCATCGTCGGAGGGAGGGGAGGTTGGCAGTTTTTCGGGAGGGAAAACGTCTGTGATTGACGCGCGCCGGGTCCAGCGGCGGCTGCGGACGGTATTTACATGTTTGTTTGCGCTCTTTTTAACAGACTAACGCCTTACGACCGTGAAGGGCCCGCCGCGGGCCCCGCTGGAGCCCTGGGGAGGGGCGGGGGGCGCCCTTGCTACCCCTCCCCCCCCCGCCGCCCAGCGCTCTGTTTGTTTTGATAACTATGCCGATCCGGCGACCACTTGACGGGTCGTCATCGTGGAGTGTTGCCTAATTTGGCGAGATTAAACTATTCGGCGTGTCGAATTCCTCGGTTTTTCGGAATTTCTTGGTGCGGTTTGGCATCGTTGCTTGTGCTTGAGGTTTTCTACGCGTATGTTGACGGCGGGCTCGTGACCTTAAGGATAGGTTTCAATCGAAACCGGGAACGGTTTCATTACTCCCAGGTTGCCGTTCTTGGCAGGAAATGAGAGAATTATTGTTCTGGTTATG